ATTATTTTTTGTTGTAGAAAAAAATAACTTTTTCAGGGAAATCTTTCTTTATCGAAAGGGGTTATTCTGTAAGAAGGTTGACATTGCTTGTCTGCGATGACATTAACAACTAAATCCAATGATGATATAACATGGCCCAGTAATTCGTATCCTGGTAGATTTGAGCAAGTGAAAGCTTCACCTTGTGTCCCCCCCGTCCCACTAATCTTCTTACTGATCTCTGTCTCTCTTCTCTGCCTCCTCCGCGGCACTCTGGTCCTGTAGTTTCTCTGTGGCTATGCCAGCAGTGCTTACGGCCCATCATCTACCCCTCCTGCAAAGGTAAAGTCATGGTCTACAACCTCCTGTCTGCTTCCCTCTGTGTTGTGTCTATGGTGTCATCCTGTGCTGTGTCTAAATGTGTAGAAATTAGGAAGCTGAGAGCGATAGAATGTACTGTTCTGAGTTTAATAGAATTTCACCAGCTTTTTTTTCTAAACTAGAGTTCCCTGTCGCTTTAAAAAACCCAAAACCAAACATATATAATATTGCAGCTTACCATTCTTACATGTGATGGCTGCATTAGTTTTTCTTTTTTTAGGCTTTCTTTTCTTTTCATTTCATAAGTCTGTTGCCTCTCCAGATAGAATGAATCAGATACATTGATGAGACAAAACAGTTAACACTGGCAGGGTGCTTACAGCGATCAGCTTTTATTTCTGTATGCAAAACCTTATCTTAAAAGGAAAAAACTGAAAGCTGTAACCAGGGGCGCGGACTGACCATTTGGAAACTCGCACTGCCCGAGGGCCCGGGGTCAGTAGGGGGGGCCCCATGAGGATGCCCCTGGTTTCCTTTCATAGGCTTTTTTGAGTTTGGCAAGAACACCAGGGCCCCATGATCCCCGATTGCACGGGGGCCCCATGAGTTTGTCAGTCTGCCCCTGGCTGTAACTGCTTATAAAGTGTGAACTGAGCTTGGCTTCAATTTGTTAGTGTATCTCAAAAATTTGCTAATACATCTAACACTCCCTCCCCCCCCCCCCCCTAAGAGGGCCCCCAGACTGACAATGCTGCTGTTCAAATGTGCCCCCTGTGCTCCTTCATCCAGAGTGGGGGCAATTCTTATACAGGAGGTGTGTTACTGGCCAGATCACCGGGTGAAAACAGAAGGGAAAAAAAATCTTACCAATTCTTACATATGATGCTGCATTAGTTTTCTTTTTTAGGCCTTTCTTTTTAGTTTCATTTGGTGATCCAGTCGTAAGGCTGTTGTTTTTTTCAAAAGAACACGCCTCTCCCGTAGAATATATCAGATACATAGATGAGACAAACCAAGTTAACACTGCAGGGGTGCTTAGCAGTCAGCTTGCTTTAAAACTTACCTTTTCGTGGAGCTCGTGGGAGAGATCAGTTAACCCCGTATAGGTTTTGCAAGCCGACGATCCCCGCAGGATGGATCAGATCTGTGGATTGGGGAGGATAATGGATCAGACTCCGATCCATTATGCACAATCTGCAGATTCGATCCATCCTTTGTGGGGATCGTTGGAGGGGATGTCACCAAGTGTTCCGGCACCGGGTGACACCAACCCAAGAACAAACGCCCCTGGGCTGCATTAGTTTTCTTTTTTAAGGCTTTCTTTTATTTTAATTTCATGATCCAGTCCATAAGTCCTGTTGTTTTTTTCAACAAACATGCCTCTCCAGTAGAATGAGAATCAGATACATTGATGAGACAAAACAGTTAACACTGGCAGGGTGTTTACAGTGATCAGCTTTTATTTCTGTATGCAAAACCTTATCCTAAAAAGGAAAAAATTGAAAGCTGCAACTGCCTATAAAGTGTGAACTGGAGCTTAGCTTCAATTTGTTAGTGTATCTAAATCTGCTAATACATCAACACTTGGACGGACATCCCCCCTCCCCCCCAGACTGACAATGCTGCTGTTCAAATGTGCCCCCTGTGCTCCTTCATCCAGAATGGGGTCATTCCTATGCCAGGGGTGTGTTACTGCCAGATCACCAGGTGAAAACAGAGGGGGGGAAAAAACAACCTACAAAAGAAAACTAATGCAGCCACCACATCTAAGAATCGTGAGGTGAAATATATTACAGATTTGGGTTTGGGTTTAATACTGCTTTAATGGAAGTGCTAGAAAGTCCCCACATGTAGGACAAAATTAGCAGCCCTGGTAATCATGTAGCCTACCCTCCACATACCGATCCTCGCAGGCTCTCTCTCTCTCTCTCCTCCCCCTCCCTCCTCTCCTCGCTCTCTCTCCCCCTCCCTCCTCTCTCGCTCTCTCTCCCCTCCCTCCTCTCTCGCTCTCTCTCCCCCTCCCTCCTCTCTCGCTCTCTCTCCCCTCCTCGCTCCCTCTCCCCCCCCCTCCTCGGCTCCCCTCTCCCCTCTATCTACCCCCCCTCTCTCCTTTTCTCTCTCTCTCTCCCCTCTATCTCCCCCTCTCTCACTCCCCTCCTCTCTCTCTCTCTCTTCCTCCCCACTCTCTCTCTCTCCTCTCCCCCCCTCTCTCTCTCTCCTCTCTCCCCCCTCTCTCTCCTCCCCCCTCTCCCCCTCCCTCTTCCTCTCTCTCTCCTCTCCCCCCTCTCTTCCCCCCTCCTCTCTTCTATCTCCCCCCTCTGCTCTCTCTCTATCTCTCCCCCCTCTCTCCCCTCTCCCCCTCTCTCCCCCCAACTCTGTCTATCTCTCCCCCCTCCCCCCTCTCTCCCCCCTCTTTCTCTATCTCCGCTCCCCCCTCCCCCCCCTCCTCCCCTCCTCCTCTCTCCCCCCCTCTCTCTCCCCCCTCCTCTCTCCCCCCCCCCCCTCTCCCTCCTCATCCCCTCTCCCTCCTCATCCCCTCTCTCCCCCTCTCTCTCCTCCCCCCCCTCGTCTCTCTCCTCCCCCCTCTTCTCTCCCCCACTCTTCTCTCCCCCACTCTTCTCTCCCCCCTCCGTCTTCTCTCTCCCCTCTCTCCTCCCCTCTCTGCTCGCCACCCCCCCCCCTCTTCTCTCCCCCCCCCCTCTTCTCTCCCCCCCCCCCTCTTCTCTCCCCCCGTCTTCTCTCTCCCCTCTCTCTCTCCCCCTCTCTCTCCCCTCTCCCCCCCATCTCGCTCCCCCCCTCTCTCCCCCCTCTCCTCTCTCTCTCTATCAAAAAATATATTTCAAATGTTTCAAAGAAACTAAAAAAAAAAAATCCAAAGGACATTTGGATTGTTCAGAAGATCATTTAATAAATATGTTGTTCAAAAAGTAATACACTTAAAGCACGATCAAACCCAAAAATGTCATATACTTCAGCTTACCAATCATTGGAGGCGATGGCTGCATTTGTTTTCTTTTCCTCTGTTTTCATCTGGTGATCTGGCCAGCAACATATCAGAGCGCCCCCACTCTGGAAGAAGGAGCACAGGAGGCACAACAGCACTGTCAGTCGGGGAGGTTTGTTAGATGTACTAGCAGATTTAAATACACCAACAAATTGACACCAAAATCCAGCTCACACTGTATAAGCAGTTACAGGTTTGTTTGTTTTTTCCTTTTTTTTTTTTTTTTTACAAAGGTTTTACATGAATAAATAAAAGCTGATCATTGTAAGCACCCCTGTCAGTGTTCAATGGCTTGTCTCGTCCCTCTAACTGATACACTCCCCTGGAGAACTTGTTTTTTTGAAAAACAACAGACCTACTGGCTGGATCTCCTGATGAAAATAGAAGTAAGAAAGCCTAAAAAAAAAAGAAAACGAATGCAGCCATCACGTCTAAGGTTTGATAACCCCGCAATATTATAAATGTTTGCTTTTGAGTTTCTTTCTGCTTTTAAGTCTTCAAACCCAAAAATGTAATATATTTCATCTTACCATTTATTTGGAGGCGATGGCTGCATTTGTTTTCTTTTCCTCTGTTTTCACCTGGTGATCTGGCCACAGGAGCGGAATGACAACACATGGGGCCCCCGGGCAATAGGGGATCATGGGGCCCCTGTGTCCTCACCCACACTCTAACCACACCCAAAAAATCCTATGAAAGGTACCAGGGGCATCTCATGGGGCCCCCTACTGACCCCGAGCCCTTGGGCAGTGCCCGAGTTCCCAAATGGTCAGTCCGACCCTTGTCTGGCCAGTAACACATCTGTATTAGAGCGCTCCCACTCTGGACAAAGGAGCACAGGAGGCACAGCAACATTGTCAGTCTGGGGGGGGGGGGGGGGGATTGTTAGATGTACTAGCAAATTTAAATACACTAAAAAATTGATGCCAAAATCCAGCTCAAACTTTCTAAGCAATTACAGGAAATGTTTTTTTTTTCCTTTTTTTTTTGTACAAAGGTTTTACATGAATAAATATACGCTGATCATTGTAAGCACTCCTGTCAGTGTTCAATGGCTTGTCTCATCCCTCTAACTCAGGGGTGGGCAACTGTGGCCCTTCAGCTGTTGGTGAACTACAAGTCCCATCATGCCTCTGCCTTTGGGAGTCATGCTTGTAACTGTCAGTTTTCAAATGCCTCATGGGACTTGTAGTTCTACAACAGCTGGAGGGCCACAATTGCCCACCCCTGCTCTAACTGATACACTGGAGAACTTGTTCTTTTGATAAAAACAACAGACCTACTGGCTGGATCTCCTGATGAAAATAGAAGTAAGAAAGCCTAAAAAAAAAAAGAAAACGAATGCAGCCATCACGTCTAAGGTTTGATAAACCCGCAATATTATAAATGTTTGCTTTTGGGCAAGGGCGCACTGTCCATTTGAGCACTCGGGCACCACCCGAGGGCCCGAGGTCAGTAGGGGGCCCCAAGAAATACCCCTAGTACCTTTTATAGGCTTTTTTGGGTGTGCTTTGAGTGTGTTCAAGGACACAGGGGCCCCATGATCCCCTATTGCCCGGGGGCCCCATGAGTTGTCAGTCCGCCCCTGCTTTTGAGTTTCTTTCTGCTTTAAGTCTTGGTGTGAATATGGTCCAACATATCTGTTAGTCTTGAACCATCATGAAGCCTGTGGGGAGTTGGGGACAGCTTGGTGGAATCAGAAGGATATTCAGTTCTAAGTGAAGGGCTTCGTGATATGAGATATGATATGATATGATATGATATGTGAGAAAAGATAAAGCAATGAGAATAGTGCTGCAAAACCTAAAACGTCCATGTGATGGCGCTAGTGAGCCCTACTGATAAATCCTATCAATGGGGATAAAAGGAAGTAAGTGTGTTTGAGGCCACAGCAGGATTAGCCCGGGATCACACTAGTGCTGCCACATAATCAGGCTTTTTTTAGTGCACTTTTTTTTAGCATGTACTTGGGCATTTTAACACGTGTTTGGATGCATTTTTTTTTTTTTTTTTTTTTTTTTTTTCATTGGAGGAAGAGACTGGACCCTTTCCAAAAAAACGCACCGGGTGAAAACGTGGAGATGTGAACCTGTCCCTTAGGAAATCATGTTAAACGGACTGCTGTGTGTTTCTGCAAAACGCAATGGAAAACGCATAGGTGTGAACCTAGGTTGATGTAGAATGTATCAGTTAGATGTACTAGCAGATTTAGATACACTAACAAATTGAAGCTAAGCTCCAGTTCACACCTATGTGTTTTCCATTATGTTTTGCAGAAACGCACAGCAGTCCGTTTAACATGATTTCCTAAGGGACACGTTCACATCTCCACGTTTTCACCGGTGTGTTTTTTATGGAAAGGGTCAGGGACTTTTTAAATCGCAAAATGTTGCATTTTTGGTTCAATAGACTTCAATGGAGATGCTGCAGCAATGCATGTAGTGCATTTTTTACGCGTTTTGATGCATTTTGCATTGTGATCTGCCCAGCATAAGTTGGAGGGCCCGGGGTCAGTAGGGGGCCCCATGAGATGCCCCTGGTTCCTTTTTCATAGGCTTTTTTTAGTTTGGGCAAGGACACAGGGGCCCCATGATCCCCTATTGCCCGGGGGCCCCATGAGTTGTCAGTCCGCCCCTGGACCTGGCACTCCTGATTCCCGGTCACCTGATCGCTGTCATAGCCCCTGATTGGCTATCACAGTGATCAGTCACTGAAGCCCACCCCCGTGTTTTCTTTTTCTCTGAATGGAGGAGATACTTTCTATCTCTCTCGCTCCTTGCAGAGAGAAAAAAAAACTGTGTAAAGAAAAAAAATACAGGCGTACCTCGGTTTACGAATTTAATGAGTTCCCCGGGACGTTTCGTATTGCGAAAAATTCATAAACCGAAACGCGGTTTCCTATAGGAATGCATTGAAAGCTAATTATTCCATTCCAGAGGTCAGAAAAAACTAAAAATAAAGTCTTTTATCTGTCAAAACTCTTTATAAAGTGCACTTTAAAAGGCACGGAGCCGGTGCTATAACCCTCCCAGGTGCAATGCATCCTGGGGGAACTCACTTCCTATTTCGAAAAAATATTTTCAATAGATTTTAATTCGTAATTCAAACTTTCCTGATATATATCATTGACTAACAATACTCATGGATAAATTACCCATTGCACATTGCGGTCTTTAAAGGTGGAAACCTACAACACCCTCTGCAAAAGATCACTTTTATGCCTAGGAGGACTGTGAAAGCACTTTCACCCACCCGACCCTCCACTCCTGCAGCTCCTCTGCGCTGCTAGGCAGGTCCCTGTGGCCTCCTCTCACCTTTACTTTGGCAGGGTAAGCTCACCTGAAGTCATCAAAGACCAAAAACCCTTCATTTGAAGGGAGGACACCAAAAGACGGTCCACTGTTGGAGCACCATCTGCGGGGGAGCGGAGGATCAGGTGAGTAAAAATGCTTTTCTTGTCCCCACTCCCGCTCACCTCACAGTAGTGTCCTCTACCCTCCCCCCCCAATGTAATGTCCTCTGCCCCCCTTTACATCAACCCCCCTCACACAGTAGTGTTCTGTGCCCCCCCCCCCAAAGCAGTGACTTCTGCCCCCCCCCCCTCACACAGTAGTATCCTATACCCCCACCAAAGCAGTGTCCTCTGTTCCCCTTCACAGCACCCCTCCTACTGTAGTGTTCTCTACCGCTCTAGTCCCACCCACACAGTAGTGTCCTGTACACCCCCTCCCCAAATCAGTGTCCTCTGCCCCCTTTACATCACCCTCCACTAACACAGTAGTGTCCTGTACCCCCCAAAGCAGTGACCTCTGCCCCCCCACAGTAGTGTTTGGTAACCCCCCTCAAAGCAGTGTCCTCTGCCCCCTTCACATCCCCCCCACACACAGAAGTGTCCTCTGCCCCCCCCTCCCCACAGTAGTGTCTGGTACCCCCCTCAAAGCAGTGTCCTCTGCCCCCTTCACATCCCCCCCACACACAGAAGTGTCCTCTGCCCCCCCCTCCCCACAGTAGTGTCCGGTACTCCCCTCAAAGCAGTGTCCTCTGCCCCCTTCACATCCCCCCCCCCCCCCACAAACTCACACAAGTGTCCTCTGCCCCCCCCCCACAGTAGTGTCCGGTACCCCCGTCAAAGCAGTGTTCTCTGCCCCCTTCACATCCCTCCCCACGCACGCACACACACAAGTGTCCTCTGCCCCCCCCCCCCCTCCCCACAGTAGTGTCCAATACTCCATTCAAAGCAATGTCCTCTGCCCCCTTCACATCCCCCCCTATGAACACACACACAAGTGTCCTCTACCCCCCCCCCCCCCGCCCACCCCACAGTAGTGTCCGGTACCCCCCTCAAAGCAGTGTTCTCTGCCCCCTTCACATCCCCCCCCCCCCATGAACACACACACGTGTCCTCTGCCCCCCCCCCCCCCCACAGTAGTGTCCGGTACCCCCCTCAAAGCAGTGTTCTCTGCCCCCTTCACATCCCCCCCTATGAACACACACACAAGTGTCCTCTACCCCCCCCCCCCACAGTAGTGTCCGGTACCCCCCTCAAAGCAGTGTTCTCTGCCCCCCTTCACATCCCCCCCCATGAACACACACACAAGTGTCCTCTGCCCCCCCCCCCCCCACAGTAGTGTCCGGTACCCCCCTCAAAGCAGTGTTCTCTGCCCCCTTCACATCCCCCCCCCATAAACACACACAAGTGTCCTCTGCCCCCCCCCCCCCACAGTAGTGTCTGGTACCCCCCTCAAAGAATGTTCTCTGCCCCCTTCACATCCCCCCCCCCCCCACGCACGCACACACACACAAGTGTTCTTTGCCCCCCCCACAGTAGTGTCTGGTACCCCCCTCAAAACAGTGTCCTCTGCTCCCCCCCACACATACCCAGAAGTGTCCTCTGCCCTCCCCCCACAGTAGTGTCCGGTACCTCCCCTCAAAGCAGTGTACTCTGTGCCCTTCACATCCCCCCCCCCCAGGGGCGGACTGACCATTTGGGAACTCGGGCGCTGCCCGAGGGCCCGGGGTCAGTAGGGGGCCCCATGAGATGACCCTGGTACCTTTTTCATAGGCTTTTTTGGGTGTGGTTTGAGTGCGGGCGAGGACACAGGGGCCCCATGATCCCCTGTTGCCCAGGGGCCCCATGAGTTGTCAGTCCACCCCTGCCCCCCCCCCCACACACAAACACACCAAAAGTAGTATCCTGTCCCCACCCCCCAAAAGCAGTGTCCCCTGCCCCCCTTCACATCACCACCACCACCCCCCCCCCCCCCACACACACACACACAGAAACTCAGCAAAGAAATCTCATCTGCAGGCGACTTGGAAATGATATCATTTGTCAGATTGTAGTTCAGCGCAGATGTTATTGCATGAGTGTGAGAATCGGGTGCTCTTTGGATTTTTGGGATCATTTCTGCATGACATTGTCATTTCTGGCAGCAGTGAAAGTTGTCAGAACACGGCCCATTGTCTCTGTTATTTCCTTTTTCCGCTCTTAGAATTGTTATTGTGTATCATCACTTTCATATTTCTCCGATAACAGTGCTGTCAGTGCCTCTGAGGACATGATTGTAACTCTGTAACTGCTGGTCACCTACAGGGGGGTTCCATCATGACTGCTAGGGGCCCGCAGTGTCCATGTATGACACAAGAGACATCCTATAACTCAGATCTCATTGGTAACTTAGTATTCATCATTCAAGCTGAGGTTTAGTCACCTTCTATTTTGCTTTCCCTGGTTCATCCCTCCCTCCTCCTCATCAACATGCTAATGACATGTATTAACCACTTCAATTCTGGACACTTTCACCCCCTTCCAGTCCAGGCCAATTTTCAGCGCTATCACACTTTGAATGACAATTGTGCGGTCATGCAACATTGTACCCATATGAATTTTTTAGCATTTTTTTTGAGACAGATAAAACTTTATTTTGGTGGTATTTATTCACCACTGGGTTTTTTTTTTTTTTGCTATGTAAATGAAAAAGTTAAACAAAATTTGAAAAAAAAAGTGTTTTTCTTATACAGTTTTGCAAAATAAATAATCTTTCTTTATAAATCTTGGCCAAAATGTATTCAGTTATCTTTTTAGTAAAAAAAAAAAAAATGACCCAAATTCGTTTATAACCAAAAAGTATAATTTTTTAAAAAATGTTTTACATTTTTATTTTATTTTTTTTATTATTTTAGTTTTTTTTTTTTTTTACATACTGTCACCCTAGCAGTACACTGTCACCATAGTGACACTACTACTTGGGGGGGGGGGGGGTGATGAAGATTTTTTTTTTTTTTTTACACTGATTGCTTTTACACCCATAAAGGCAATAATTTCTCCTTCTCTCTGGCTGCATTCCTGCAGGCATTGACAAATACTGGGAGAGCTGTGATTGGTCACAGCTTGTCACATGTTACAAGGCTGTTGTGAATAGCCTTGTACCATGTGACCTCTGTGATCATTCACAGATTTCACACGTAGTAAGCAATGATGTCACAAGTGACATCATTGCTTACTACTATTCATGTGATCACTGACTGGCCAATCAGTGATCACATGATTGGGACCTCACGCAGAGGTCCCGTACAGCCATCGGTGTTCCACTGTGTCCGAAGGACACAGCGGGCACCGGATCACGGTGCTGCGTTCTCCCAGGGAGCGCACAAGCAGGGAGCGAGGAGGCCATTTATGCCCCTGCACTGCTCCCGTCCAGCCTGTCCTCAGGGCACAGCAGGCACCAGATCACTGTGCCGTGCACTCCCAGGGAGCGCACACAGCCTGAAAATGCAGGCGTCGTTTATGAACTGCAACCCGCTCCTGCAATGCTCCCGTCCAACCGTTTATGTACATGGGCCGGACAGGAAATGGTTAAATTAACCTTATTTTATACCCAGTGATGTCATAACTGGGTCCCTGTGCTTTTCTGGGCAATGCAGGCAGATCATGGCTAATGAAAGGGGCTGCACAAAGCTTTCTGAAAACAACAGATCACCCTAGTTAAATGTGATGCTGAGCCTCCATGATTTAAAGAATTGAAATCCAATGAATGAAAGGGACAGTCAGGCTGGTGGAGGAAAGTGCTAGCTAATGCTGGATGTCCTCCAGTCAGGAAATGAGAGGGATGGGTAGAATAGGCAGTGGGGAGTTTTTTTTACATTAATGCTAGGAATTCAGTAAAGGTAAAAAAAAATGAAATTTAGAACCACTTCAGTCTTTTAGTAGCACAAACTGACTGCAAACTGAGCATGTGCACTGGCTGCCAACACTGTTCTGCAAAATCCCCAACTGCATTGGGGACATAGACAGGAGGGGGAGACAGAGAGCAGCAGGATCAGCCAGGATTTTTAGCAGAATCCAGAAAAGGAATCCCATAGTGATGGAGTGAGTATGAATAGCGTGTAATACAGCATTTATTGATCGTTTTCTATGATGTGGGTTTAGTGACACTTTAAAAGTTTTTTTTAAATTAAAATAATAAAGTGTTATACTACCTGCTCTGTGCAAGAATATTGCACAGAGTGAGCCCTCTTCTTTGGCAGCCCTCCCGCCAGTGCTGTCTGCTCCTCCTTCCCTTGGGTGCCTCCTTAGCAAGTCACATGCTATGCGGGTACCGATGCAGACTTGCAC